AAGGGAGGTGGTGAAGGACCTAAACTTGGAGACGGCCACAGAAAAGGAGCGCTCAGAAAGATAAGAGGAGAACCACTCCAGAGCAGTTCCTGATAGGCCTACCCAGTCTCTCAGCCTCTCCAGTAGCAGGTGATGGTCAACAGTGTCAAAGACTGCAGTCAGGTCCAGCAGGACCAGAACAGAACCGTCCCCTGCATCACTGTGAGTCAGAAGGTCATTAGAGACCCTAAGAAGAGCTGTTTCAGTAGAATGAGCTCTACGAAAACCTGACTGGAAGCTATCATAGATGTTATGTTCATCAAGAGCAGCTGTGAGTTGTTTAGCCACAACCTTTTCCAAGATCTTGGAGATGAACGGACGTTTGGAGATGGGTCTGAAGCTAGGGATGCACCGATGGATCGGCATTTGATCGTAATCGGCTGATAGCGCCCCTATCGGTTTTGATCGGAGTTTTCAAAATAGATCAAAGCAGACCGATCAATTCAATTTCAATTCAAGTTTATTTATTAAGCGCCAAATCACAACAAGAGTCGTCTCAAGGCACTTCACATAATAAACATTCCAATTAAGGTCAGTTCATTAAGCCAATCAGAAAAAATGTTTCCTATATAAGAAACCCAGCAAATTGCATCAAGTCACTGACGAGTGTCGATCAGGTAGGGTTGTCACGGTAACCAATGTAGCTGTAAACCCCGGTAAAAAAAAAAGTTGACAATAATAATAACCGTCTTGTTTTTTAAATAAAACTATATTATCTTGGTGGATTACCGTGGCTGCGGTGTAGGCGCGGTGACCCTTACCAGCCACCGTATCATCTGCTGAAGTTGCCGGCGGCACATGCGCGCTTTGTTGTTTACAACCAAAACTTTCTTGAAGCTAAAGCTGAAATAATGGCCAAAGGAGGAGACGGCAGCGCTCAAGAGGACATTTTTTATCCCTCAAAGAAGACAAGGTGGGGAGTACGGGCATCTTTTAGATATTTGAAGAATGCCGAGGGAGTTTATAGAAGATGGCTATCCTGTTTGCAGCACGTGCAGAAACAGTGTCTGTGAAAGGCAGCAACGCTTCAAATCTCATGACACATCTGCGTGACCATCACCCACAACTCTACAGCCAACGCAAGGCAAGCTAACGTTAGCGTTTTAGCTAAAATGCGTGATCCGAGGATTTGGGTTGAGGGAGAATGCAACGAGTCGCTATAAAAAGCAGCCGCAGCGCCGCTACCTGCATATAAACCGTGTCGCGGACACCGCCATGTTGAAATGACGCTATGCATTACGGGGCTCCCAGGGGCAGATAAGAGTTGGTCTCTCTCCGAGAATAATTATGAATTTAACAATGATTACTGCCTGATGACATTTTCCCACATCTGCAAAGCTCACTGGAAGGACACAAACCGAGGACAATATTTTCCTGATATAGGGTTTATTACTCAAGTAAGGGTAAAAAAGTATCTGATTAGAAGGCTACTTGAGTACTGAGTATCATCTGATCTAATATTTTTAAAATGATGACATCAAACAGACATAAAATAAGAAGTTATGGGCAAATATTGGTATTTTAAAGACTAAAGGGAAAAAATGTAAACAAATAAACAACATAATTACAAAATAACACATTTTAGGCTAAATTTAGACACAAACTGAGGACAATATTTCCTGACATACAGGGTTTATTTAATTGTGTGAAAATGTAGCACGTTTTAAAAAAAATACCGCGATAATACCGAAAACCGTGGTAATTTTGGTCACAATAACCGTGAGGTTAAATTTTCACACCGTGACAACCCTAATACAGACCATTTTAGATTAGGTTACATTTCCTTTATTCCCAGATTATGTAGTTTGTACCACTCATTATAATGTTGTAGAAAATTTCTGGCCAATCCACGTGATCGGTATCGGTGATCGGTATCGATGATCGGCATTCTTTGATATCGGTATCATGTGATCGGCAGCAAAAAACCTGATCGGTGCATATCTATCTGAAGCTGCTATGGAGAGAGGGGTCGAGACTCGGTTTTTTAAGAAGCGGGTGGATTACAGCATTCTTAAAGTAAGCAGGGACCTGACCAGAAACCAGAGAAGCATTAATTATAGAGAGCACGCTGCGACCGATGGACTGAAAAGCACTTTTAAACAAAGATGAGGGTAAGATGTGGAGGGGGCATGCAGAGGTCTTCATAGAGTTAACTAGTTTGGTTAACTCAGGCAAAGAAACAGGAGCAAAGCTATCTAGGATGATGGGCCTGGTTGGAGTCGGGAGAGGCAGCGATAAGGCTGAAGGAGAGATGCTAGATCTAACCTTATTGACTTTGTCCACAAAGAAAGACAGAAAGTTCTCACAGTCTGCAACAGAGTGGATGGAGGCTGTAGGAGAGGCAGGAGAGACGATGCTGCTGATGGTGTTAAACAGCACCTTGGGGTTCCCTTTGCTCTGGGACACCAGGTTGGAGAAATAGGAAACCCTAGCGTCTCTGACTGCAGAGTTAAAGGATGTCAGAAGATCCTTTAGGTGCAGCAGATGGGACGTGGAGATGGGTTTTCTTCCACAAGCGCTCAATGTTTCTGCATTGGCGCTTCAGGCTGCGAAGGCTGTCATTAAACCAGGGAGTAGGGTTCACTGCAGGAACTGATCTGGTTCTGACAGGACAGATGTTGTCCAGAATGGAGAGGCAGTGCTTGTTGAACTGAGAAGTTAAGGAATCTGGGTCGTTATCAGAAGAACAGGGTGGATCAAAAGCAGCAGAAAAATTGCTAGCTCTGCTCTCATTAAGAAAACGAGAACTAATCATACGGTGAGCAGGAGGTGGGAACGCAGAAACTGACAAGTTAAAGAAAATGCAATGGTGATCTGTAATATAAACATCCTCAGGACAAACACTGTCAGCATTTAGACTCAGGGTAAAAACAAGGTCTAGAGTGTGCCCCCTGGTGTGTGTGGGGCCAGAAACATGCTGGGTAAAGCTGAAGGAGTCCATAAGGCTGGAGAAATTCGTGGCAAAGTGATCGGAGGGATCATCAACGTGGATGTTAAAATCACCAACAATCACCAGTCTGGACAGCTTCACAGTGGAGGATAGAAAGTCATTAAACTCCTGAAGGAAAGAACCGTTTGGACCAGGTGGACGATAGACCACAGCACAGTAGAACGGGTCCTTATGCCCGACTTTAATCAGCTGCAGTTCAAAGGAAGCAAAGTGACCAGAGGTTGTAGAGCTACATGGAAGATGGTCTCTGAAAACAACAGCTAGGCCTCCACCACAACCAGAACCGTGGGGCTGGCTAAGAAAAGAATAACCACTCGGGCAGAGTTCAACCAGACCAGAATAATCAGATGTTTGCTGCCAAACTTCAGTCAGAAACAGAAAATCCAGGTTTTTAGAGAGAATTAGATCACTGAGCAGGAAGGACTTATTGTTAATAGAGCGGGTATTTAATAGAGCCATGCTGAGTGGGGTGGAGGAATCAGAAACTACAGAAACAGCTGGAGTTAGTGGACGTGAATTAGCAGGGTTAGATCCACGGTGTTTATAAAAAACACTTATGGAGGGAACAGGAGGAGAAACCACTGAGGAATGAGGATAAACTAACCTTAAAAAACTTGGACGGAGAAACCGTGCCACAACGCGGCCTGGCGGGAATGCCGAAGTGGCGCTCAAGTTGCCAAACTAAGGAAAAGAAGCTAGAAGATCACGCCGATGTTTACTAGATAAACGGCGCTTTAAGAGAAGTCTTATTCTCACATGGATTCCTGCTCGTTTACCTCTTTTCCTCCGACGTTTTCCCGGGACCGGATAAACATTGCTGGAGGCGTGCAGGTTGGGATCATCGTTTGGCTCCGGGCCAGAGCGCCACTCAGATAAACAAACAGGATGGTACGTCCTCGGTGCATCTTGGGCGATCGTGAACGAACGGAAGGACAAAAGAGTCTGGCGATCATAGGAGATGGTAGCAGGGACACTACTGAAGAGGAACGCAGAAAGGAGCAAGGTGGAAAAGAGGAGATTAGTGGAGAAAAGTTTGAAAAAGTGGCCGGTGACCGCGGCTAAGCCAAGCACAGGCGCCATCTTGTTACCGACCGGAGAGGCCCAGACTTCCCTCTCCCCAGCCACTTAGACCAGCTCTTCCAGGGGAATCCCAAGGCGTTCCCTGACCAGCTGAGAGACATAGTCCCTCCAGCATGTCCTGGGTCTTTCCTCCCAGTTGGACATGCCTGGAAAACCTCACCAGGGAGGCATCCTGACCAGATGCCCGAGCCACCTCAACTGGCTCCTCTCTACATGGAGGAGCAGTGGGTCTACTCTGAGCCCCTCCCGGATGCCCAAGCTTCTCACCCCATCTCTAAGGGAGAGCCCAGCCACTCATCGGAGAAAACTTATTTCGACCACTATTGATATTGAAATAACACCAGAAAATATGACTCAATAGCTTAGCCGAATGACCTCTCCTGATTGGAGTTAGAGCAGTGACATACTTGCTGTTAAACCTCTCACAATTATCTACGACCAATGAGGCCATGAAGTTGAACAAAATACAACTACTGACAGAAAAGTACCAGTGTTTACAAGCACTAATGCCTCCTGCATCCGCCCCTTTCTGTGTAGAGAGAATCTTGATTTTCTAATATGATTCATGAATAAATTCCTCAACAACATGAAAAACCGAATGTAATTGATTTTTCTATAGATGGTAAAGTAAAGCTACATGAATTTCTACCATTTCCATGCAGGGTCTGGCCAATACCTTTAACTCAAGTCTCTACAGACAACACTATGGCTGATGTGGCATCATGAGCTGAGACTCAGTCCCTTTCCAGTCTGAATCAGTATCGGGGTGATGGGGTACAGACCCTGCTTTGACCCGGAGATTATCAAGCCACTCCAAAACCAGTCAGCTCCTCAGCTGTTTGAAGGAACTATTAACACTGATACGTGTGTTAGCTTTAAGTGCTGATTTTGTGTTTTTACTTAACAAAAACGGCTCCAGAGAACACCTCACCTCTCTGCCGGTGAGGATGTGGCGGGCAAGTTTGACTTTAGCAAAGTTGCCCTTGCCGATGGTCTTGAGCAGCCGGTAGTTTCCGACATGGGGCGGCTGCGGCTCATCAGAGCTGCGGGATCGCATCCCGGTCCGGCTTGAGCGCGCGCTGAGCTCCTGGCGTCCAATGGTGTGTGATGAGGTGTGCTGCAGAGAGGACATTCTGTTAGCTCGCTGGTTAAACTCTAACTGCAACAGTGGTGGCTCATATAAAGTATGGCAACAGCAAAGTACGAGAAAAAACAGGCACAATTTTGTTTATTTGAATAAGAAACTTGGAAAAAAAGGAGCACAAATGAAGACTAGACAGATATGTGCACCTCTAGCTTCAGTTCAGCCATTTGTCAGGTTTCTGATGTGAGTTTAGATGTCGCTGTAGCTTTGAGACCAGCCTGCTTTTTTGGCTCTTTTCACTCTTTGTGCGTTGGAGACCAAAGTCTGATCGGATGTGTCAAGTTAGCAGATTTTAGGTCAGGCTGTTAACAGCTAAAGCCTAATTTATACGTCTCTGTCAGCTCCACAAGGGAGGCATGTGTTGACAGAGACGCGTTGCTCTCAGACTTCTCCGTCAGCTGGGGATTGTTGCAAAATGATTCCCTGCCAGGACAACAGAGGGCGTAGCGCTGTTCTGAGGTATCCGGCCACCATTACAGCTGAGAAAATATAATAACTTCTTAGGGGATTCATGCATGAATCACGCTGAAAAAAAAACTGCCCAAAAAAATCTGTTAGGAACACTTTTATTTGGAGTTAGGTTATGGAAAAGCTGCGGGGCCCGTTGCACTGCCACTGGCTTTAACAGAAGGTACATCAATACGACCAGTCTAGTTAAAACACTTTACACGATAGAGGTCTGCACCGTAACGGATCCAACACTCAACGGAGTTTAGTGTTGGGATGCAACAACAAAGTGTGTGTGTGTGGGGGGGGGGGGGGCGGTCTGAGTACTTATGTCTCCCAACAAGAAAAAAAACAGAACAATAAACAAATCATAACCGACACACACCCGTGGATCACTATTGACTGGCCATCAGATGCCTCACTGACAGCTCTGCCTCACCCTGTTTCACCCCCACCCACCCACCTCGGTTACTCTGTAAAGCAGGAAAGAGAGGAGATATTACCCGACCAAACAGAAACCTCCATCCACAAATGTTACTTTGTAAAGAGGTCAAACGTAAAAAGATAACGAGATCAAAACTAAAAACGATGTAAGGTACTGTGGAGACAACGCCTCAGTAAGGCGGCTGAGCAGCACAACAACACTTTAAGTGACTACAGGAATGTTTTAGGACTTCTACAGCGATGAAGATAAAAATATCACCAGCTGGGATAAGGTCACTGTTGGATACTGCAGGCAGGAGGAGGGCTGAGGGGCAACGTTCAGGCTGCAACGAATAGAAATAATTGTTTTTAAAAAGAGTTTTAAAGAACCAAACCAAATCTGTTTTTAGCCGATTATTTCCTGAGAGTAGCGACAGAATAAATCCCACTTCCTGGTTGGTTTCCACCCTTCCTTTCTCTGGAGGTACTCACAAAGCTGCCGTGTCTCCTGGCTCCGTCAGAGCCCGTCATGTTTCTGCACTGATCCGCAGACACCAGCACCAGAACCCCCCCAACTCAGAGAAGAGATCCCAGTCAAGCATGCCGCAGGTGGACACATCGGAAAGCTAACAGCCCTTCAAAATAAAAGCCGTCAATAAACGGATTCATTTGTGCCAAGAACAGCGGCTTGTCTTTTCAACCTTAATAGATAATTAGACCACATTTAAGAATGAAAGTTAAAAATATTTAAAATATAAACAGTTGCATATATTTTCCTGAGCAGCTTCAGTTGGGAGAAAAAGCTTTTATCTGAACATTTCAGTCCAAAAAACTAAAATGACTCCAAGCACCTAAATTTTACATGAAACATTTTCTCTTTTCATCAGCTTTGCATTGCACATTTAGCTGCTGTTGACTTCTGCTCATAAATAACTGCATGATGTGAAACCAGTGGAGATGCATGTTTATAAAACAACATCTGCATGAACGGTTCTGAAAGTTAAGAGTGTGGAGCAGTTTTAGGACGATACTCTGGTCTAGCTGGTAGCTAGGTGGTGGTGCTGTTGAATAGAAACTTTTTCTCTGAATGGAGATTAAGATGACAAGTATCTATAACTTGTACACAGCAGTGTACTTCAAAATGCTGGTACTTAATTCAATGTGTTTCTTTTAGCAGAAACTTCTCTTCAGCACCAACGTCTGCACCATACGTCATCTTAAACAGCCGACACTTCTACTGATCCACTATTTAAATTAGAGGTGTGAATCTTCACTTGTCTCCCGATTCGATTCGATTACTGGGTCAACGATTCAATTCGATTCGATATCCCGATGCATCACGATGCATCACGATTATTTCATATTGATTTGTTTTCATCGATAAATAGAAGATGTCAGATAATTGCTTTTTATTTTTTTATCTATTTTTTTGATCCCCAGTGAGTCGTGGTGGATGGCTGCTTATACTGAGCCAGGATCCTCTGGAGGTTTCTTCCTGTTAAAAGGGAGTTTTCCTCTCCACTGTCGCTGCATGCTTGCTTAGTATGAGGATTGCTGTAAAGTCACTGACACTAGTCAGTGACTTGATGCAATTTGCTGGGTTCCTTATATAGGAAACATTATTTCTGATTGGCTTAATGAACTGTGAATTGGAATGTTTATTATGTGAAGTGCCTTGAGACGACTCTTGTCGTGATTTGGCGCTATATAAATAAACTTGAATTGAATTGAATCTAAAACGTAATTGACACAACCTGCCATCCCTCAAAAGCTCTCCATTCACAACAGGTTAGGACAAAACATTTAAACATTTAAGATTTAACAAAGTAAAACATATGTTTCCTCGTTCAACACCACGCCTCAGGCTGAGAAAAACACGCTTTGCAAAAACTCACAAAATCTAAAAAAGTACTGAAAACCTACAGGACACATAATGTAATAATAAAATCCATAATGGGTTCATATATGAGTGTTTAATGTCTCTGAGCAGCTCTAGAGTCCAATATTTGTGCCACAGTTCAAGGATGTCAGAAATAACACCAAATGAAATGTTTGACTTAGTTTATTTTATTTGAACCCAGTGGTTCGTTTCTGAAATGTTGGAGAATGAATCAAGTTCTGTTTGATGCAGAAAATAAAATATAAAACAAATTCTACACTTCCAATAATATTTAAGATGTGTGTTTTATTCTTTCTGATAACACCAGCAGAAGGCTGTGGGCTGGATTAGGATTAAATTACCCAGCTGATGGATCTCCTTCACTAACCAGCTAACTACAAACCTTTCCACTAACCTGTCCTGTGTAACCCTCACCATGTAACCCTCATGTCCATGCTGTCTCTGAGGAGCAGACAGGAGACAAGACCTCCTGTAACTTCAAATGAACCAAAGCTTCCTCCCAGTTTCTCTTTCAGCTGAATTTAACATCAGTTTATCTTCATGAAACAAAAGAATAAAGTGGAACGAGAACTTCTATTTCTCTCTCCTTTTAACTTCTCCGTCTCCCTAAATAAAAGAGACAGACGATCACGCTGCAGCCGCCGTCACTGACCCCGCCCCCTCCCCAAGACCGGATCTCCCTACATTACAACAAGCAGTCTGACTGAGCGCTTCCAGGAGAAATAATAATTAAATTATGAAAATAACGCGTGTTTGGAGCATCGGTGGTGGAGGAGCGTCCTCCGATCGTCTCTCTTGTGTGAGCAGTCTCTCTCTCTCTCTCTCTCTCTCTCTCTCTCTCTCTCTCTCTCTCTCTCTCTCTCTCTCTCTCTCTCTCTCTCTCTCTCTCCTCTCTCTCTCTCTCTCTCTCTCTCTCTCTCTCTCTCTCTCTCTCTCTCTCTCTCTCTCTCTCTCTCTCTCTCTCTCTCTCTCTCTCTCTCTCTCTCTCTCTCTCTCTCTCTCTCTCTCTCTCTCTCTCTCTCTCTCTCTCTCTCTCTCTCTCTCTCTCTCTCTCTCTCTCTCTCTCTCTCTCTCTCTCTCTCTCTCTCTCTCTCTCTCTCTCTCTCTCTCTCTCTCTCTCTCTCTCTCTCTCTCTCTCTCTCTCTCTCTCTCTCTCTCTCTCTCTCTCTCTCTCTCTCTCTCTCTCTCTCTCTCTCTCTCTCTCTCTCTCTCTCTCTCTCTCTCTCTCTCTCTCTCTCTCTCTCTCTCGGTCGCTGATCGAGCGAGCGGGAGCGCGCCGCACGACAACCCGCTCAATTAACATCATTCACGGCCCAAATCAAACAGAACCGGTCGGGCTGATTCGGTTCCGGTTCGGTCTCGGGTGACAACTCCAGCGCTCAGCCCTGCAGTACCACATTAAGGCGGAGGGTAAATGTGGAGGACGCTCACTCTGACAGATGTGGATGCGGCGCTGGTGCCGCCGTTAAAAAAACAAAACTACATTCCACTATAATCGATTATGGCGTACTCTTCTACGATGCAGAATCGTTTATGTCCGCATCCCATGCATCGATTATTTGATTATTTTCCTCAGCTCTAATTTAAATACAATATAACATCTAGCTTCCTCTGTGTCTCTATTAAAATCAAACATTTTACTCTATGAATGTTAAAAGCTTCAAATATAACAAAATGACCCGAGTGAGAACTGATTTACATTCATTTTGCTATCAAAACTGTGATTATTTCTTCAGTTATGGAATCATTCTGCTCGAAAGGATCAATCCCATTCCTACACGTCGGCCCCAGAAACTGCTTGTGCTGTAAACGTTATCTCCAGCTGACTTGCTGCTGCAACCAGAACTAGTCATCGAGACTGATGATGTCACATGGAGAGACTTGGTGCTTGCAGTTAGACTGAAGCGGGGACACGGGGAGAAACTTAATATAGGTCAGAGAGGGAGCAAAATGAAGAGTGAAATATGTGCTACGTTTTCTTCAAACAGTAGGAGAATAATCCTAATCCTCCTAACCCTAGTCCTTCTGTGTCGAAACTCAACTAAAACAAACTACAGTTAATGTCAGTGACGGACACCCTAACCCCTACCCAGGGCTGGACTGGGACAAAAATTCAGCCCGGGCATTTTGACTGGAGACCGGCCCATCACCTGTTTTTTTGGAAAAGACATTAAGCCTTATGCTGTTTCTGACACACACCAACGTACACTTTCTTATTGGTAGTATTTATGTATCAATCTAATAAACGTAAACCTACACCATCCTTCCTATCCTGGTATTCTAAAAAAGTAGGGTTGGGGGTAACTGATTATTTTAAAATGATTATTCTGACGATTATTTTATCGAATAGTCGACTATTCTAATGACTATTTAGATGATTAATCTAGCGATTACTTTTCTATTGCACAATTAATAAAAACCAAAAAATTCTCAAATAAATTCCTCCAAAAAATTGATAAATCGTTACTGTAAGAGAATAAACACTACAGGCCTTCCATTTTGTATAACACTGCTTTTATTGTGTTGCGGTTGGTTATGTTCTGGTGACGTGTAGAACTTGGGAGTGCAGGCTGCTGCCTGAGAGGTGGTTGGAGACGGAGTGTCTCCATGCTGCTTTGTTTTGTTCACTTATGTGCATGAGGCAAGTGGTGTTACGACCCTTCCTGGGGAGTCACGTGTTTCTCCTATTTTAACTGTAAATCCTTCATGCTGTTATATTTATAACAAGAAACAGATATTCGGACAGAATATTTTCACGTTTATTCGAATATGATTGTGGAACACACCCAGCATCATAATAAATGAAGTAATGTTTATGCCAATTTAAGCCTTTATGGGTGACCAGGACTCTGTGTTTATGAATGTGGAAGACACCCAGCATCCTGTGATGGCACTAATAACATCAAGAGATAATAAATAAGGTAATATTTAGGTCAATTTAACCTTTACAGGTGACCAGGACACTGTAATCAATTTTTGGCAAGGGAAATGATCATTTGTTGCCATTTTTGAGGTGTTTATGAATGTGAAAGACACCCAGCATCCTGTGATGGCACTAATAACATCAAGAAATAATAAATAAAGTAATATTTAGGTAAATGTAACCCTTTACAGGTGACCAGGACACTGTAATCAATTTTTGGCAAGGGAAATTATCTTTTTTTTTTTTTTTTTGCCATTTTTGGGGTGTTTTTGATGACACAGTAGGCAGTATGAGTACAGTAACGTCAACAGATAATACATAAAACCCTTATTTGGTCAATTTTAGCCTCCATGAAAATCTTAGCGATTCAATCACTTTTTGGCAAGTAAAATGCCATTTTAGTTGTCTACAATTAAATCATCAATAAAGAATTTAAAGATATTTTGAGGCGTTTCTTATAGGTAAATGGGAGGGTGTAGTCTATTTGGCAAGTGACAATCTTGATTTTATGTGCTGAAGTGCTTTTATCTTGTTACTTTTAAATAGAGGCAACGTAATGAATAGATAGCAACCTACACAGTGTCATTAAAGTCAATGCTTGATCATTTTAATACTTTTTTCCAAGTAAAAATGTGCCCCAAACTAGTTAACTGTGGCTCCATGTCAAGTGGACTAAAGAAAGGAAGGGGCAAAAATTAAATCGCTGGAGAATTGTTTATTTCCATTTATACAACGTTTACATTCAATACAGGGTGCCATTTTACATTGTTTATTTATTTTTTTAGTATCAAGGCTGTAACATAAAGAAAGCCAGTTCTTACCACAAATTTTGTGGCACAAACCATCTTTCAATCGCAAATATTGCAAAAAGGATTAATATATCCTCATTGTGAACGTTAAGACAAATAGCAACACTTAAAACAACTTCCGAACTGGAAAAACTAATGTGGCAAGGTGCAGAAAGGAGTGCCCGGGCGGGATTCGATCCCCAGACTCCCGGGTGAAAGTCATACGCTCTAACCAGTCAGCCAAAGGGACATCTCCTTGGCCAAGAAGCCAGGGCGCATCATCAATCGGGACATTGTGGATGCTCAGACTGCCACATCTTCCTCCCTCTTTCCACAAGCACGTCCTCGTGCTCCCGCGCAGGGTGCCACAAACACTGCCACACTAATATCCGCGATAAACATCTGTTTAAGTACCGGAAGAGGTTATCTTTGCTTTCTGAATGTCCATATTGCTAGATATGCTGAGTTTTAGGGCGAAATCCTGGGGAATTTTGTCTAGAAATGCAATTACCTAACCGTGCGCGATCCCGCGGTGGCTAATCATTTTTTGGCAGCGAGTCAATTTATGGCACAACACCGGCTCGGGTTTCTCCTCCTCCTCCCTCTTTTCTTCTCCAACCTGTCGCTGGGCTGAGGCTCCATCACTTCCTAAATTGATTTTACTTGAACCTTCACTACCAAACAACTGTGAGATTTTAACACATGTGCCAGCATCAGCCTGAAGGGCCAGTTTCTTTTTTAGTCGAATTTTCTCCGCTCCTCCTTTCCGTTTTTTGTTCTCCATTTTGTAAAACTCGTCTGTCTGTTTACTGAGATTCACAAACAACTGGCGGGTGCATCAGGCCTCTGGTTATTGGTCCAGCCCAGAGTGTATTATTACCAATTGGCCAATCCACCAACTTTTACGAGGCGTCGCGTGGGGCGGCGCGGACAAGTTGTCCGCAACAACTAGAGGCCAGGAAAAAAAAAAAAAAAAAAAAAAAAAGCAGACACCGGCCCATAAAAGATGAAAGGGTCGGCCCAGCGGGCAGTTGCCCGCTATGCCCTATGGTCAGTCCAGCACTGCCCCTACCTACAATTAGAACAATGCAAATCAAATGGAGATGTATGGCAAGCTGGTCTGGTGTTTGCATGCAATAAGTTTCATAACTGCGTTTAATAATTTAAACTTTTAATTATCGGCTAGACAAAAAAGACCCAAAATGCAACGCCTTAAGACCTTCAAGTGACAGTGTGTAGTTTCCCTGGCGATAGGGGGCAGTACACACCTAAATAATTGCAAGCAAGCAAGCATTATTTTTGTGTTCAAGTATGACCTTATCAACGGAAGGCCATTTGGGTCAAAAATCCCTGGGAGCACAACCTCCAGCAAAATAACCAGAACAACATCACTGGCAACGAGTGAGGAGGTAAATGTGTAAAACAACGTTTATTAATGGTGAAAGTTTTGTGACCGTTTGTTACAAATCAGTAAATGTTTTGTCCTCACAGGCTTCCGTAGTAGGAAACATAGCATCGCCTAGAGACTTGGACACGCTCCCATGTAGTTTAGAACAGATTTTTATGGTTATATGTTATGAAACAGCCATATTTTAACAACTGGGCATTTTTTAATTAAATTACTACATTTCAATGGATATTTCCAGAGATTAATGGTAAAACTACACATTGTCACTTTAATCATAAACCTTGAAAATAATCCATATAAATGTAGTACAGTATATTCTTTACACATTTTTTATAAAGAAATTTTTTACTAAGCCAGAAATATTTCCCTAGTTTGTCATGTAGTTTGTACGTCGGCCTAATAACTCTAAGTATGTCACTGCCTGCACACTGGTGTCACTTCAGTCAGCAAAACTTTATCAGAGGTGATAAGCTGCTTTTTTTCAGAAGTTTAAATGATTTAGATTTTCCTTCATAAACAAACATCAAACACCCTTTTATACTGTTTATAACGCCCTCGATGCATTGTTCATTTAAGTCTGGTTTAACACGATGGGGGATGCTGAATCAGTGAATAATAAAAGTTCCAACAATAAAAATAAATCTTCATTGTTCATGTGACAAAAAGCATCTCATACATAGTTGTTAAAACTTGAAAAACCTGGCCGGAAGAGGAAGTTGACAACAGGACAACCTGAACAGGGGGGGGGGGGGGGGGGGGGGGGGGGGGTGGGGGGGGGGACTCAGTAAGCTGATTGGATGAGGCGTTTAAGTGACTGTTGGAAAAGCCAATAGCTATCCAGAACAGAACCTACAGTTGCCTGCCAGAAGCAGCAGGTAAATTCCTGTAGTTTTGTTCGTGGATGGGCCTAAACTCCCGAGTGCAGGAGCAACAAA